TGTGGGTAGACAGAACAATAGGGTAGCCCATATGGTGGCTAAGAATGCCATGTCTTTGTTTCCTGCGGGTTTCATCATGGAGTAATTATAGGAAAGTTACTTTATATATAAAAAATTTCACTTTGGAAAAAATTCATAAGCATTTATGGATTGAAGAGAAAGCTCAAATCCGTGACAAGAATGTGAATGCAGAAGCATCTTCTAGTTCCAAAGTTAATGTGGTAGAGAACAAAGCCAAAACTCCATTTTGGTTTATAATTGATCTGAGTTGAAGGTTGGTCTTGTTTGAACAATCTTGTTATGGATTAAGACCAATATCTCGAGCTTGAGATCATATAAACATCTCCACCATGGTTATGCATTTTTCTTGATGGTCTCCAACTTCGAGAATGTCATTCTCCATATTTTCACCAAAGTATCCTGTAAATGGTGAACTCTTCGTGATCTACCCTTACTTCCCCAAGGTTCTTATTTTCCAAGATTTTTATAGATCCTTAAGAAGATTATGTAGGGGATCTTGAAGGGGTCCATCCACTTCAAGGCTTGGTTCTTCTATGCATAGAGATTCATCATCTCGATTAGGGGGGATCTATACTACTTGCTCTTCTTCCGTTTTGTAAAGGATGATGTAGATGTTCCTTCTTCAGCAAGATCAAAGTTGCAACCTTCGTAAGTTTCCTCCTCCCAACTTGAGTTGAACACATAGTGAGTGTGACTTGAAGTCTCCTTCAACGAGCAAGATGATTGTTCTTCATTGATAATTCCTCCATGATCTGTTGAATGGTTGGGTTATCTAACTCCTTTCCTTGGTTGGAACATGTTGGTCTAGTCATTAGAGTTCCTGATAGGTGGCTCCTTCTCAAGCTCCTCCTTTAGTTGGATAGGTTGAGATGGTTGCTCCTCTAGTGGCTCCTTTCCGTCATGCTCCATTTGAGGTTGCTCATACTTGTTTGAATTATCCTCTATAATCTCTTATTTAATGTTCGATTCCAAGGGTTTTGTTGACCTTCAAGTAAGAGGTGAAGGGGGGTCATCATACTCAAACTCTTCCCGGGATGTTTTCGATGGTGGATACCTTGGTAAGTGGATTACTCGTGGATTCAGATTGATGAAAGTGTAGGAAGTGTCAAAGCCCTCGCGTGGTGTGAATCCTTCAACATATTACCACAAATCTAAGAAAGTTTGGATTAGTGTAAGCTCTTCAATACTGCAACCTTCTTCCTCCATTGCTACTCCTATGGGTTGTATCTCATCTCTCCTTCTTCGAAAGTTTTAAGATAATCATCTTCCTTCTTCAAAGAAACATACATCTATTACTCACTACATAATGGAAGCTGAATAGCCCTTGCGGAAGGTGGAACAGAGGCAAAATGGCTAAGAAATATGTTGTTAGATATAGAGTTGTGAGGATCATTGCCACGATCAAAGGTTTCTAAGTGCAAACATGTCATTGTGAGGTCTATTGAGGAGAAGATTGTCGAAGCTAAGTTTGCTTGGGGACAAGCAAAGTTGGGGTTATTTGATGACACATGAAAGTATCTATTCTATACCCCTGTATTATGACCCAAAGTGCACATTCCCATCAATAGTGACAAAATACATTAAATTATTGCTATGATTTCTTCAGGTGTTTTCTAGAAATGCTAGGACTTCTTTTATACGATTGATACGCTTTTGGTAGCATTTTGTGCATTTTCAAGGCAAAGTAGTCTTGTGGACCACTTGGAAGCCGTAGTGGAAATCGAGCCCAAGTTGCTGGAGCCAGTATTTGAAGACAAAACCCCTAAGCAAAATGGTTCTTGAAGCACTATTTCAATAAAAAAAAGGGAGGCCACGATGCCGTTTTAGGGAGTTGGTCCACTTCATCAAGAAGTTATCCCGGAGCATCCTGATTCATTGGCCACGTGTATGGAGCGCTCTGATTGGCCGAATGATGCATGAGGGGCGAGTTTTCCTCCTCATAAAGCCTAATGGAAGATCTATAAATAGGGCTCTAGAGGTAGAGTTCAAGATGGGGGATATGAGAGGTCAAGCAAGGTAGTATTCCGACATCGTCTACTAAGTATGATTTAAAACTAAGAATAACTGAAATCCAATAAAATAATTAATGTCATTGGTTTGGTACAAATATATTTATTAATTAAATAATTTTTTAATAATGATGTTAATTCTTACGCACTTACAATATTCTGACAATTGTTTTACCGATGAGTTAAACAAGGATAAGGGAAAGGGGTTGACCGAACCCTAATGAGTTTTTCTTCTTCTTTTCAAATGTTCTTTTAATAGGAAAATTATATGAGAAGATCCTCCTCATTGCCCTTTCCACCGAAACAATTCTGCTTCTTTTGAATTGGCTCAAGCTCCCTATTTAGTTCACGTAGGATCAAAATCCCAATTTTGGTACGATTTTAACGATTTTAATCTCGATTTTGAACGATTTTAAGGTCCACCGATTTTATAGTAAAATATGGATCAGAATACCTAAGTAAAATCCTAAAATCCTACGATTTTACGATCAAAATCCTGATTTTGACTGCATTGGATAGAGCAACCCACATGACTTAGATCAAATTCACCCTAAGAGGGAGAATCAGCGGCCAAAACAGAGTTGTAGAGCCTATTTCCTCTTTTCCAGCCGTCGATTCCCATGGGCCTCCTGGTGTCTTCATTTCCATTTATGAACACCCATAAACTCCTCCCCATGATTGGCTAAGTTCCTTAGTTCCGTAGGTATGTGAACCATAGGGGTTCTGACCATGTAAACTTGTTGATTTGGTTTAATACAATTGTTTGGTTTTCATATGTGTGATGCTTGATTTCATGTGTTTTGTTATTTGTTGATTCGAATGACTGCTTATTTGATCTTGCACTCCTTTGAGGTGCAAGGATTGGAATCCGAGTCATTTAGGATAGGTCTAGAAACAACAATCCTACTCGATCGAACCTCATTCAATCAAATGGAGTGATGCCTCAAGGGACAAATTCAAAGTTTCCTAATCTCCTATTGGTTTGGGTAAATGCTTCGACACAAGGTGCGATCTGACAAAATAAGAAATCGGAGCTCGTATGCTCCGATCATCAAGGGCGCGTGTTTAGGAGCCCTGGGCGGAACATTGGATATGCAACGCTTTCCTTCTCTAATCTCTCAACTATTCTCCTCAGCTAGTGTAGGTTTACTTTTCTGCATCACTTTACTTTCCAAATTCTTACGTTTAGCATGCCCGGAGGGAGATTAACCTCCTAAACTGTATGTTTCTTTAACAGAATCGTACCTCACTTCTGAAATAAGGCTTCTGCAAGAGGCTCGAGGGAATGCGATCTTGTCCTTAAGGCCATGTAAATTTGGTAACGATAATACAATTGACATCACCAAGTTATATGACAGTGTGGGGCTGCTGTGAGAGACCCTCACATAGCGGGTAGCCTATTCTTCCAAAAAAGAATGAAGCTCGTGGAAATGGATTGTTAATTTGTTCGAGAACGTGAAGCCAGTGCTGAAATAGACCCTCGAAAGATCTCTACCACTCACCAACTAGCAAATGTTTTTACTAAAGGCTTGCGAGCTTAACAGGTTGCCTATTTTTACTCCAACTAGCAAATGTTTTTACTCCTGGTGTCTTCATTTCCATTTATGAACACCCATAAACTCCTCCCCATGATTGGCTAAGTTCCTTAGTTGCGTACGTATGTGAACCTTAGGGGTTCTGACCATGTAAATTTGTTGATTTAGTTTCATACGATTGTTTGGTTTTCATATGTGTGATGCTTGATTTCATGTGTTTTGTTATTTGTTGATTCGAATAACTACTTATTTGATCTTGCACTCCTTCGAGGTGCAAGGATTGAAATCCTAGTCATTTAGGATATGTCTAGAAACAACAATCCTACTCGATCGAACCTTATTCAATCAAATGGTGTGATGCCTCCAGGGACAAATTCGAATTATCCTAATCTTCTATTAGTTTGGGTAAATGCTTTGACACAATGTGCGATCTAACGAAATAAGAAATCGGAGCTCGTATGCTTCGATCATCGAGGGCGCGTGTTTAGGAGCCCTGGGGGGAACATTGGATATGCAACGCTTTCCTTCTCTGATCTCTCACTCATTCTCCTTCAGCTAGTGTAGGTTTACTTTCCAAATTCTTACGTTTTGCATGCCCGAAGGGAGATTAACCTCCTAAACTATATGTTTCTTTAATAGAATCGTACCTCACTTCTGAAATAAGGCTTCTGCAAGAGGCTCGAGGGAATGCGATCTTGTCCATAGGGCCATGTAAATTTGGTAGCGATAATACAATTGACATCAACAAGTTATATGACAGTGTGGGGCTGCTGTTAGAGGCCCTGCACATAGCGGCTAGCCTATTCTTCCGAAAAAGAACGAAACACATGGAAACAGACTGTTACTTTGTTCGAGAACGTGAAGCCAGTGCTGAAATAGAGCCTCGAAAGATCTCCGCCACTCACCAACTAGCAAATCTTTTTATGAAAGACTTGGGAGCTTAACAGTTTGCCTATTTTTACTCCAAGCTTGGCCTGAATGAGGCAATACATGATAAATAATGATAACGATAGTAATAATAATAGGCAAGGTTCCCATATATTATGCCCAAAAGTAATCGATCCCTCCCACCGCCAGTTTCTATATGATGCGCTTACTTGTCCAATTAAGTAATTCTCCTCCCGCAATTCGTGCATTCATCTCAGATATGGTGGTGCCGACTATGCTTTGGAGTCATATATAGACAAAAGAAGAATGCAGAAATAAAATTTTGGAATAAAAAAATGAATTAAGAATCAAGAATTAAATTGAGTGAGACTACTACTCCATGACCTGTACGTGTTGTTGTTTAGCGATGGAGGCTTGCACATATGCCGGTTTTGGAACGAAGCTAAAGTTGGACTAGTATAAAAGCAAGGTCCCGGCTACACTGATTTCTCACCCTAATTTCACATATATCGATCGATCGCAATACATAAAGAGAAAAACAAAGAGAATGGGCTGCGCGTCGAGAGTAGCGGTCGTGGCGGTTCTGCTTCTGGGCATCTTGAGTGTGGCCGTTGACAGTGCCGATACGAGGATCCTCAAAGGACCTGACTGCAGGGGCCATTCCAAGGATAAGGAATACAACAAGAGAATGAAGACTCTACTTGATATCTTTGTGAGCGACACTAAGAACGTTGGCAGGCATCATGGGGATTACGTCTACACCCATAGTTTCCCCAATTCCGACAAAGGTTCTGTCACTGGTCAGGCCATTTGCGACTCCCGCTTATGGAAATGGGGTTGTGGGAAATGTCTCGGCGACGCCAGCAAATACATCCACCGCAATTGTGGCTCTACCCTCAATGCTACCATAATACTCGTCGACTGTTCTATCTCAGTCCACAAGATATGACTTCCGTGTCTGCCTCCTAGCTCCTCTACTACTACTACACGCTCCTATCTCTTTTTTCATTTTTTTCATTCTCCAAGTTGTATTCGGGATCACGCCTACTAGTCTACCTGTACTATCCGCCCACAAGTTCGTGCAAATGACTTAATTATATTAATCTCCATATTTAATATATATTGTCCATTTTCTATGGTTGCTAAGTAGTATATATTTATTACAAACGAATAATATAAAATAAAAATACCCACCCATCTCACCATAAATCGCTCACACTATTTATTATTCTAAAGTATAAGCCCATTTATAAATCGCTCCTCCTCCAGCCGTCCACGGCCCATCGGCCCTCCCTCCTCCTCCTTCCCACCACCGCCGACTGTCTCTCTCTCTCTCTCTCTCCCTCATCCCTCTCTCTCTCCCTCAAATGCCAATAGAGGCGATGCATGGACGCACGGCTAACTCCGACGGTGGCTTGGGTATTGCTTTGGTACATGTTTGGTTTTTATTATGGTGTTGATTTTATTTTATTTTGGTATTTGTTCGGGTGTTTAATAATTTGATATTAGCTAAATCTTCTCTATGGAAAACATAAAACATATATCCAGTTTTTTTGTTTGTTTTGGCATTGGTTCCCTTTTAATGTCGTATTAGTTGATTTTTTATTTATTTGGTATTGCTTCAATTTTATTATGGTATTGTTTTAGTTTGAGTGTATTCGTATTGGTACGGATTTGATACTTTTTTGTAGTGGTATTGATTTGAGTGTAATCGTATTGATAGTGGTTCTTATGTACGTTTTTCATAATGGTACTGATTGTCTAGGCTAGTATGGATTTTTTGTAATGGTTTTGATCTTTCTTGGATTGGTATTGATTTTGTCTAGGTTGGTTTGGATTTTTCATATTGGTATTGACTTTTCTTGGATTGGCATGGATTTTTCTTGTATTGGTATTGACTTTTCTTGGATTGGTATGGATTTTGTTGCATTGGTATTGTTTTTGTCGCATTGGTATTGATTATCATGTAATGGTATTAATTTGCATATATTGGTATTGAATAAATCTGCAATGGTATTGATTTTTTGTGAAATTGTATAGATTTATATTGGTAGATTGTTTATATTGGTTGTTTTCGTGTAATGGTATTGATGTTTTTCAAAGTGGTAGTGGTATTCTAATGGATTGGTAGTGATTTCGTGTTTTTTCTTTTGCAGAAAGATTGAGAAAAATAAGGAAAGAGGATCCGGCTGGAGATTATGGAAGTGAGAGAAAGAAAGAGAATCGTAATTAATAGATTTTTGTAACTACCTAAAATGTAATTTATTATAAAAATTAATTAATACAATTTATTTTTTCATACCCAATTTACCCTTAGTAATCACCGTAACTTGTCCCATTTCAGACTTGTTGGCGGATTTCGAGATTGGACGGGTTGTTGCATTTCCTATTTTATTTCGTCAGTTTTTAGATCCGCCGCGTCGAGGGACGACGTGGTGGAGCGGGCAAAGTTGCTGGGATAGTGCAGGCAAATCAGTCAAAATCGAGATTTTGATCGTAAAATCGTAGGATTTTAGGATTTTTCTTTGGGATTCCGATCCTGATTTTACTATAAAATCGGTGGACCTTAAAATCGTTTAAAATCGGGATTAAAATTGTTAAAATCGTAAAATCCTACCAAAATCGGGATTAAAATCGTATGAGAACAAAATAGGCTGTTTGAGCAAATTTAAAAAAGCGGAACTGATTTGGCAGAAAGGACAATGATGAGGATCTTCACAAATATTTTTCCTATTAAAAAATATTTGAAAAGAAAAAAAATAACCAAATTATGGTTCGGTCATTCTCTTTCCCTTCATCCCATTGAACTCAAAGGAAAAATAGCTTTCCTAATATTGTACGTGCGAAATAATTAATATCATTATTAACTCATTAATTGATTAATAAATACATTTTTGCCAAGCCACTAGCATTAATTATTCAATCGGAGTTCATATATTATTAGTTTTAAATCATGATTAACAAACAATGTTGAAATCAACCTGATCGGAGTACTACATTGAGTTAAACTACCTAAACACAACATGAAAACAAGAGCCAAACTCTATGAGCTCTATCATTTCCTCGTGAATTATTTTAGTTACGCATTAAATAACAATTAAAATGATGATCTTGGAACATTAATCTTGAGAATTATCATTTTCAATGTTATGTGCCTTTGTATTGGTAATGGTTTAACTTATTAATATGATTATATGTTAGTTTCTATATAGAACTTAAAATACTACGATTTTACAATTCGATTTTACGATTCCGATTTTACCCCAGTTTTCAGTAAAATCCCAATTTTAACTGCTTTAAGTGCAGGGCAAGGAGGAATTATGAATTTCACAGGCGGCAATGACCTTTGCTTTTTAGGTTTATCATCTGTATTAGCATGTGTTAGTAGTGATTTGTATGTAGTAGTTATGTATTAAGTATTAGCATCATACTAACACTTTTATTAAGGACATTATAGTATTTATGCCTTCTCCCTTCTCCTATCCTATTACTACCGGGCTCCAAAACTGCTACTTAGTTAAATAACTGTATATTTTTTTGTGTCAGTTTGACAGTTTTTCTCATGTAAAAACACTAATTATTAGATAGAGGAGAGAGATTTTAGATTTTAATTAATTTATTAAAATTTGGTCAAAGAGGCTCGTGTCACATTTCAAACTCTTTAGTCGTAATTCAATGGGGGTAATGTCATTGTTAATTAAGAACAGTAATCATTTGCTATATGATTCCTATCAATGGGTGGGAGGAACAACAACAAAGAGGCTCGTGTCACGCTTATAGACACAATTAAGACTTCACATCAATACATGATAAATAATGATAATGATAGTAACAATAATAATAGGTGCTATTTTGATGGAGCAATTTCAACTGATTCCCATGGATCGATAAGGATTGTTCTCCAGGATGCGGTTGGTGGAGCCAATGCTGATGGAGGTGATGGCGATGCAATGCGTTGGTGTGCGTAGACAGGGCTTGTTACGGTCCAATTCTTTCGTGATGCAAAAATTGTGATCGACAAAGTTAATGCAGGGATCACTCGAGATGTGCGGCATAAAAGTGATTTATGTGTCGAAATGAATGTGAAACGTGATTCTGATAGTTAACACGGCCTGGAACACAGCCTGGAACACGTTGACCCTTTGACAGCTTATTGACTTTTCTTGATGTGGTCTTCAACATGGCCGTGTTGAAAGGTATGTTCATTTGGACATGGTCTCAGACATGTCCATTGATCACTTGAATCCGTGCAGGTTATTGTCAGAGGTTAGCACGTATCAACAACTATCCCATCCTTGGCCAAGTTTAACCTAGAACGAAATTGTCGTATAGTGGTAATCAAGGTCGTATTCTACCTAGGCCCTGGTACCCTAGCCTACTTCCCACCTTGTTGCTAATTAGTTAATAAGTTTATGAGGTTTTGAGTGGAGGATATGAGGAAACACTAGTCTAGATATTAATTCAGGGGTCGTTTGCTTCAAGGATTTGGTACATGGATTTGGTACCAAAAAACCAACTATCAAGGATTTAGGTACAATCCGTTGTTTGCTTGCACCTTTTTTGGAGACCAAATCCGTGGGGCCCACGGATTTTAAGGGTCCAAATCCGTGGACCCCACGGACTTATAAATCCCACATGTTGATGTGGGATTTGGAATATGGCATAAATCCTTGATGAGATTTTACCCATATACCCTCATGCACTTTTAATATTCCAAGGTTGCCCTCAAATTTAACTATTATACATTATAATTAACAATAAATGAATAATATAAACGTTCAATTAATGTGCAAACATGAGTTAGATTTTTTATATCATTTCTTGTGTTCTAATTTTCTTTGACCTTTTCATGGAACGTGTAATTCTTTGTTCTCCCGATTCTAATATATGTTGTTATATGTCACTTTTGGAAAGGAGGACAAAGAATTGATAATTGATTATGTTACGTTGAAAGTTAAAACGAAATTTTCTCGTTTATTATTATTGTCCATGTGGCAACATTATGCTTATTAGTATGTATTGTCCTTGTATTGTGTACATATCATAAACATGTCAAACATATAGAAAATGATAGTAAGGTAATTTTGAAGTTTTGTCCTTTTTTTGTGTACATATCATAAACATGTCAAACATATATAAAAGGGCAGTAATGTAATTTTTGACTTTAAGTAGTAAATCCCACACCTTTAAATCCATGATAAAAACATCACAACAAACAAAGGATTGTTACAAATCCATGATGCCTCAAATCCTTGATAAATCCCTGGGTTTTTAAATTACAAAACCCTCATTTTTAAATCCATGAAGCAAACGACCCCTAAAGCTAAAAGCAGGTAGTTCGGGGGAACTATCCCTCCCCCTAGCTTAGGGTTACTATGCATATCTAGATACATAGGGTCATCGAATGTGGTGAGTGAGTCTTTTCCGTGGGCTTTCGTGATTATCCACACCCCTTTGAGCACCTCCCATAAATCCATGTTCCAGTCACCTCGATCTAGGCTATCATATATGGGGCATTAATCTTATGACTCATTTCAATGGACACTATCCACCGTCCACACTGAGGTTTCATCTATGAAGGCTACCTATAGCAGGGGTTCAGTCGCCTCGACCACTATCGGCTCCCATTCACACATCTAACCTATACTCGCCGGTTTTTGCATGCCCGTCTATCCCTAGAACTCCATACCCAGCGCGGTAGCATAAAGTAGGCTAAGAGGGTGGCATTAAAATCAACTAGACAAACACATTCATTCATTCAAACCCTAAAATATCAATATATGCATAGTAAACCCTAAAACTAGGTTTTCGGGTTTAGAACCCCTAGTACCTTAGAGGATTACTCCACGAAGTAGGAAAGAAGATACATGGTAGAAATAGAAGAAGACTTGGGGTTGGAGAAGATGCCTCCTTGCTCCTAGCTCCTCCTTCTTGTTCTTCTCTTCTCCT